GCAGCGGGGAGGCGACCAAGCCCTGTGCCCAGTCTACTCTGGTGAAGAGCGGGGACCCCAGGAGCCCCAGTTGCGCGCTTTCAGGGATCCCGAGATGTGTTCGCTGTCATGGTTCTTCGGAAGTCGTCTGGAAAGGATATTATGTTTGCACAGCATATTCTCGCATCTCACAGTCTCACAGAGAAAGGGGGGGTAGGAGGAGAGGGAAGGAGGAAGAGGCAGGAGGAGGAGGAGGAGGAGAAGGGAAGAGAGGGATTATCAGCGAGAAGGGGGGGTGAGAGGAATCAACGCCCTAGCTGCAATTTTTGACTCGTGGTGGCGGGGGAAGCTTGGTACTCCGTATCAGGAATCCCAAATGTGGCAATGGGTTCTCTGATCGGCCAAACAACACCCCCCGCAAAAAGCACGGGGACAGGGACTTCCCGCGCGAGACCTGGACCCAGGACTTGTAGCTGGGCAGGCCATGCCGGACGGAGCCCAAGGAGGTGAGGCCCAACCGGTTGCTTGGCATGCCGGCATAAAGGGCAACGAACACCAGCGCTACAGCCGACGAGGTGGCGTATCAAGGGGACGGGGGTGGGGAAACGAAAACCCTCGCCTGCGCACCCCTCGGGCCGAGAGGGCTGCGACGAGGTACACACTCCCATCTGATGATAATCCCCATCAGCACCTACCCTGCCTTCCCAAAACTGATCGGAGCGATTATCAGCGAGAAGGGGGGGTGAGAGGAATCAACGCCCTAGCTGCAATCTTTGACTCGTGGTGGCGGGGGAAGCTTGGTACTCCGTATCAGGAATCCCACATGTGGCAATGGGTTCTCTGATCGGCCAAACAACGCCCAACGCTGAGAAAGATAAGTCCCCAAGCACCCCCAACGCTGTGGAATATAACAAAAGAAATGGTCAAAGATCAGCTGAGAGGCAGGCGTTCCTTGCACGCCTTGGCGCCTGTTTTTTTTTTTTTTTTTTGTTTTTTTTGTTTTTTTTGTTTTTTTTTTTTTCCCGCGACCAGTCAGGGAGGCGAGGCAAACAGGCGGTCGAAATCTAAGGCGGCTACAGGAGGCTCTCGTGGTGAGAACGCCTCCCACCGAGCAGCACGGATGTGAGACAATACGACGGGATCGTCGTACCCGGCGCGGCTCAGGACGTCTGCGGGGTTGTCGGAAGACGGGATCCGTTCGAACCACGGCCTGGCTCCAAGAGCCGTCAGTGCCGCTGTGGCCACGAGGGCCAGGCGACACATCGACTCAGTAGGCGACCCCGCCTTGACTAAAGCGGCTTCGGCTGCCTGGTTGTCAATGAACCATAACACGTCCCTGTTTTGCAGCAGGGATGGCATGGACCACACCAGGAGAGGGGCAGCTAGCAATTCTGCCTGGTTGATCACATGGCCTCCCTCTGAACCCAGGTGGGCAGACATATTTTTGGATACATCATAAACAAGGCAAGCAGGCGCACGTCCAGAAACGAATACAAGAGCACCAAGACGCGGGGGCCTTCCACTGTCCGCAGACGCGTCTGTGTAGACTACCACTGGTGGAAGCGGGTCACACGCAATGGCTAACGACCTGGGCGCAGCGTGTCGTGCTACGGAGGATAAGTACTGGAGGCAACACCGAAGGTTCGGGGTGATCTCTACAGTGTCCTCGTAGTATTGGCGCGCAATGAGGGCGGATAAAGCGCCCCGACACGGCCGGCCAGCAAGCGAGGTGTCAAGCCATGTGCTGATGCTGCGCAGATGTGCGGCTTCGCCAGACTGGAGACGCCCAGCCAGCAAAACTTGGTTCACCTCATCCAAGAAACGGTCACGCGTTCCTAACTTAGGCTCGAAACTGACCGCCGAATCGGTTTGGATGCGGCTTAGGTCGTTCAAGTGTCCCAAGAAAGGCAGCATTGACGTCGGTGGCACGCGCTTTCCGTCCGAGAGCGCCACACCAAGCAAGCGCGCGAGTTCCTGGAAGGCCTGTTGGGCGTCCCCCTTAGACAGCGCAAAATCTACGATAACGTTATCGTCGACGTAATGTCCGCCCATCACGTACAGCAAGCGGCGAGCGGCGGCTGTGAGGAGGAGCGGGACCCGGTTGAATTGGTTCACCGCTGACCCCAGGCCAAAAGGCAACCCACGCAGCACGCTGTACAGGCACTCGTGCGTGGTGGGGTGGAGGAGGGCAACCACGACAAACCCCATGTCCCTGCGAGTGGGGAATAATTGGCGGTACCCTTTCCACCAATCCTCCACTGACGCGACGACTTGGAACCACTCAGGAAGCGAGTGGCCGTCTTGCGAAACCTGGAGGGCCAACGCGCGGGCAATGAGAAGCGGCAGCTCTGGCGGAATAGTTACGAGCGTCTCTGATAGGAAAGATAAGGCGTTGGTGCGAGCCCTTTTCCCATCATCGATTAGTCGCCACTTGTCGCCTGCGCACCCCTCGGGCCGAGAGGGCTGCGACGAGGTACACACTCCCATCTGATGATAATCCCCATCAGCACCTACCCTGCCTTCCCAAAACTGATCGGAGCGAGGAGGAAGGAGGGGGAGGGTGGGAGGAGCAGCAGCAGGCAGGTTGGAGCAGCAGCTGCAGGGGGTAGGAGGGCCAAGAGGAGAAAGAGGAGTGTCCCCACCATCCACGCCTCCCTCGAGTACACGCAAGAGTGACCTCTGGTGCGCGGCTCCAGGGGACCTCGAAGGGCCCAAACCCAAGCGCGGGGGCCAGTGCTGGGGCCACCCGTGTGAGCCCGCACCAAAGGTCATTCCGGTGAAAGGTCACCCTTACGCGTGCAGCCAGACCTTGGCAGAAGAACATCCCTCAAGCACTTGAGACGATCCGACGGCCAAAACACACAGAAAATCCAATGGGTACCCTCCCCAGGGTGCACAAGAACGTCCAGCAAGCACGAAGAACACCAGGGCACTGCCCCCGAAACGACCTCGATCTTACCTCGGCCCGACTGTACGCGCAGCCGACCCCCTCGACCGCGCGCGAGCAGGCGTCGGGAGCGGCCAAGAGGGGGGTGTCCAAGAGAGGGGGGTGCAAATCATGACCGGCGGCATGCGCGCGGCCCAGCGGGGGGGCCAGGGACGTAAAGCAATAAGAAGAGGCGCCATGAAATCTGGGGAAATATCTCGGCTACACGCAAGAGTGACCCTGGGTAAGAGTGACCTTTGGTGCGCGGCTTTTTGGGGGCCGCGGGGAGACCAAACCTGGGCGCGCAAGCCGCTGCTACCGCTTCGTTTTCAGCCACCTGGGGACCCATCTGTGCCCGCACCAAAGGTCACTCCGGCGAAAGGTCACTCTTACGTCTAGCCGAATATCATGGCCCACGCCATGATATCCACCCCCCCCCTAGTCATCACCCCCCTCTTTGCCGCCCCCGAGAGCAGGCGGGGCGGCACATCGCTCCGGAGCTCGACCCATCGGCCAGGCAGAAGGCCCCGCGACTTCGGCGCCGCCCCCCCCTCCGCCCCCTCGGCCAGGCGCGGCCCCGGCCTCGAGCCCGCGAGGCCCCGGGGTGCGGAGGCGCCAGCTCGTCCGCGGCGGGCGAGGAGGAGGAGGAGGAGGAGGAGGAGGAGGAGGAGGTGAGGAGGAGGAGGAGGGAGGAGGAGGAGAGAGGAGGAGGAGGAGGAGGAGGAGGAGGAGGAGGGGAGGAGAGGAGGAGGAGAGAGGAGGAGGAGGAGGAGGAGGAGGAGGAGGAGGAGGAGGAGGAGGAGGAGGAGGGCGAGGAGGGCGAGGAGGAGGAGGAGGAGGGTTGCCATCAAGGGCTTCCCGCTTTCTCGGTGTCTCTTCGCGCCTCCGATTCCGCTCATTTCTTCATGATGGCGATGTTGCTGCTCTTCTGCGTTGCCATGAGATTCTTTCACAGATGCTACAAACTTAGGATTGCATCGTCGAAAACAGGGGGAGGGAAGGAAGGGGATGGGAACGAGAAAGTCGATCGCTCGACCTGCGCAACTCTACAGCTTCATTGCCAGACGGGCAGGTGGCCTGAGAGACGCTCGAACGACGCAAGGTGTGGTGCGCCGATGGAAGTTTTCCGATGGACTGGAGCGCACCCGTCGCTGGCGTCCATACAGCATCGGCGTCCGAGCGGCCGCAGCAATGGCTGTGAGAATACCCGCGTAAGATGGACGCTGTTCGGGAGCGGGAGCAGCATCGGTTGCGAGCGGAGACGGGCCGCCAGGGAACGCTTGGAGCGCCTGGGAGGAGGAGGAGGAGGAGGAGGAGGAGGAGGAAAAGGAGGAGGAGGAGGAGGAAGAGGAGGAAGAGGAGGCGAAGGAGGAGGAGGAGGAGGAGGAGGAAGAGGAGGAGGCGTAGGAGGAGGCGTAGGAGGAGGAGGAGGAGGAGGAGGAGGAGGAGGAGGAGGAGGAGGCCTGGGAGCTGCATGGGGGCGCTCCGCGTCTGGAGAGCGCCGAGAGGAGTGACGTCGGCTGCGGGCGGGAGTCTCCCCCGTCGGGTCCCCGTGTGGCCGCGGGCGGCAGAGCACGCCGGGAGCAGGAGCCTGGCAGCAGCAGGAGGGTCACGAGCTGAGGGAGCAGAAGCGGGACGAGCCGGGGGAAGGACGAGCAGGAGCAGAAGCAGGAGCAGGGGGAGCAGGAACGGATGGGGTCAGGAGGACCAGGATGGACGAGCGGGAGGAACAGGGGAAGGAGCAGGAGCATGCAGGTCCGGAGCACACGGAGGAGGAGGAGCAGCAGCAACAGGAGCGGGAGGAGCCGGGGGATGATGATGAGGAGAAGGAGGATGAGGATGAGGATGAGGATGAGGATGAGGATGAGGATGAGGATGAGGATGAGGATGAGGATGCTGATGATGATGATGATGGTGGTGATGATGATGATGATGATGATGATGATGATGATGATGATGATGATGATGATGATGATGCTGATGCTGATGCTGATGCTGATGCTGATGATGATGATGATTATGATGAGGAGGAGGAGGAGGAGGACGAGGAGCAAAGCCAAGCGGGAGGATCAAGAGCCACGACAAAATGATGCCATTTCTACCGTGGCAGGGACACTCCATTGAGCGTGGCAGATGCGTCTCCATCGGCTGCTCGTTTCCAACTGCCCTCTGATGAGGGCCTAGCGAGTCAGGACATCCACCCTCGGCACTGTGGTCCTCCTCACTGTCATCATCACCATCACCAGCATCTTCATCTTCACCACCATCACCAGCATCTTCATCTTCACCATCATCACCCCAGCACGAGTACCATTGTCGTCGCAATCGGCATCGGTATCGACATCGGCATCGGCATTGGCATTGGCATCATCATCATCATCATCATCATCATCATCATCATCATCATCATCATCGTCATCATCACCATCACCATCACCATCACCATCATCATCATTTATCCGCGTCACCATCATCATTGTCATCAGCATCATCATTCTCGTCATCACCATCATCGTCGTCATCACCATCATCACCATCATCATCACCATCACAATCATCGCTGTACCATCATCATCACCGTCATCGTCGTCGTCACCATCATTACCACCATCACTAACACCATCATCATCAGCAGCAGCATCATCATCGTCACCACCACCACCATCATCACCAGCATCCTCAGCATCAACATCAAAACCATCACCGCCACCAACAATACCACCACTACCACCACCACCATCATCAGCAACATCAGCATCATAATGTCCGTCATCATCACCACCACCATCATCGGATGTACCATCTTCATCAGTAACACCAGCATCAACGAAGACATCAGCATCGCCATCATCATCACCACCATCATCATCACCAGCAGCAACAACACCAACAACAACGCCAACAACTACAACAACTGCAGCAGCAATAACACCAACAACTGCAACAACAACAACCTAAACAATAATAACAACAACAGCAACAACAACAACCAAAATAAATACAACAATGTCAACACGTATCTGCTCGCGTGCCGTTCAACACGTGTATCCAAAATCCTCGAGGCCCGCCCTGTTCGTCTTCGACCTTACCCCCTTTGTGGTATATCCCCCTCGCCTGCAACGTGTGTTTCGCGCAGCCCCCTAAGGCAGGGGAAAAGAAGACGGATAGAAGGAAGGGAGGAAGGGACGAGGGGGAGGAAGGAGATGGAGCAGCAAAGAACACGTGGCAAAACCAGACGGGCCGATCGGGTGGGTAGACCCCAACAGGCGGGTCGGGAAGGTGGGCCCAGGCGGCCAGATCGAGCAGGCGGATTGCTGAAGCGAGCGTCTTGCATGAATCGCGAGGAAGTCTTGAGCGACAGCGCGATTCCCAAGTAAATCGCGAGACCTCAACAGCGAATTCCTGAGTGTCGAGGGCGCGGCGTCTGAACAAATTGAGAGCAGGTCCCACGCAAGAGCACGGCTTTCGAATAATTGGTGGGGAAACACAAGTCGGGAGCCGCTGTTGCTGTTGTTGTTGCAACTCGGGGCCAGGGGCCAGTTTGACCCCCAAGACCGTCCCTGATTAAAAAACTGTGCGAGCCCCTGGAGAGGCACTTCAGTTGGAAAATGACATGTGCGCTGGAGGGGGAGGGTCAGCAATACCTATTCTTCAGTAGTGAGGGTTCAGCAGCAGCAACAACAACAACAACAAAAATAAGACTGTTCGCTCTTATGAGCTCGCGTGCCATCCAGCAAGAATGTCCCAAGCACTCGATATCCGCCCTCTTCTTCTTAGATCGTGCCCCCGTGGGGGTACATCTTCCTTGCGCCTGCAACGTGCATACCGTAAGCCCATGAAGCAGGGAGGAAAAAATGACAGTTGGAAGGAAGGGACAAGGGGGAGGGAGGAGGATGGAGCGCATAATAGAGAGAGTAGCAGGAGGAAAGCTAGGAGCAAAAAACACGTGGCAGAACCCGTCGGGCAGATCGGGCGGATGGACCCTAACGGGCGGGTCGGGAAGGCGGGCCCAAGCGGCCAGGTCGAGAAGGCGGGTTGTTGGAGCGTGCGTCCTGCATGAATCGCGAATCTCGAGCAACAGCCCGATTTCCATGTAAATCGTGAGATTGGGCAAAATGAGAGCGTGATTCCTGAGTATCGATGGCGCGGCGTCTGAATACATTGCGGGAACGTCCCACGCGAGAGCGTGATTTCTGCATACATTGTGAGGAAGTCCCGCGCGAGAGCGCGACTTGGAAATAAATTGTGAACACGTATCAGGCGGGCGCCGCTATTGGTACAACTCAGGGGCCGAGGGCCCAATTCTGAAACCCAAGACTTACCCCGATAAACAACAGGGTGCGAGCCCTGGGAAGGGCATGTCAGTTGAAGGAATGCTATGTGTCCCGGAGGGGGAGGATAAACAAAAAACATGATTCAGCAGCGAGGGTTCAACAACAGCAACAACAACAACAACAACAACAACAGCAACAGCAACAACAACAACAACAACAACAATAAATTTAAGACTGTTCGCTCTTATCTGCTCGGGTGCCATTCAACACGTGTATCCAAGACCCTCGACCCGCCCTCTTCGTCTTCGACCGTACCCTCTTGGGGGTATATCCCCCTTGCCTGCAACGTGTATTTCGCCCAATGTAAGGCAGGGGAAAAAAAGGACAGATGGAAGGAAGGGACAAGGGGGAGGGAGGATGATGGAGCAGCTCGAGAGACAATAGCAGGAGGGGAGCTAGGAGCAAAAAACACGTGGCAGAACCCGTCGGGCAGATCGGGCGGATGGACCCTACCAGGCAGGTCGGGAAGGCGGGTCCAAACGGCCAGGTCGAGCAGGCAGGTTGCTGAAGCGTGCGTCCTGCATGAATCGCGAGGAAGTCTCGAGCGACAGCCCGATTCCCAAGTAATTCGTGAGGCAATCCACAGCGAGAGCGTGATTCCTGAGTGTCGAGGGCGCGGCGCTTGAATAAATTGCGAGGCGATTCCTGCATCAATAGTGAGGAAGTCCCGCGCGAAGCGCGAACTTGGAATGAATCGTGAAGACGCATCACGCGGGACCCGCTATTGTTGTAAACCCGGGGTCAAGAGGGCCCAATGTGGTGACACCTGGCTTTCCATTATTCAAGCCGGGTGCGAACCCTGGGAGAAGCCTTTAAATTGAAACATACAATGGTTACCAGGGAGATCAACAACAGTTCTCCGTTGAAAATGAAGACTCAATAACAACATAAACAAGAACAACGACCATGACCACAACAACGATAACAATCATTTAAGACTGCTCGCTCGTATCTGCTCGCGTGCCATTCCACACGTATATCCCAGACTCTCGATACCAGTCCTCTTCGTCTTCGCTCGTACACCCTCGGGGCTGTACATCCGCCGACCCCTTGTAGGTCTCTAGGCGTGTGAAATTATCCCCCCCCCAATTCCCCTCCCCGGAAACCCCAAACCGGCAATTCGCCCCCCCCCCCTCCCCCCCCTGGCCCAGCGCGACCCCAGACCGAACGCGCCATGGGAGAGCGGAGGGCTCCAAAACGAGCCAAGAAGGCACCAAAACGCTCCCCGGACGGTCCCAAAGGGCCACGAGTCGCCGAAATATCACTCCTTGACGCCCACGATGGCCTCCAGACGGCCTCCGAAGCTGCCAAGACGCCCAAAAGGCCCCCAAGATGCGTCCAAAGAGGCCCCCAAGAAACAAAATTCGTCCCATTCCCCTGGCAAAAACAACATTTTTCGCATACTCGCCTTTTCGGCTTTCACAACGTCCAGGACGGGCAAAGAAACCTTCAACATCGCCCCTGGACGGCCGAATGGGCCCCCACGAGGGGTCGAAGAGGGTCCAAAAACAGCCCACGAAGGCCCCCAAGACAGCCCAAGAGGGCCCCCAGACGGCTCCAAGAGGGAGTCCAGAGGGCACGTGTTCGAGCCTTCGGCCCCAAGACGCCCCTAGCCTGCGCCAAGAACACCCCAAGAGGCCCTGAGAGACCCCCAAGAGAACCTCAAAGGCCTCCAAGAAGCCCCCAGGAAGCCCCCTCGAGGCCCCAAAATTCGGCCCAATATGCCTCGAGGCGGCTGGATATGGCCTGCAGACAGGCCAAGATGCCACTAAAAGGCCACAAAAGAGCACCAAGAGGTACGATAACAGCAACGATGCAACAGGAAGGATGTCGAGCGCCGTGCCATGATTCGGACAAGCCTCGTGAAATGCACTCCTGGAGGCGCAATAGTTTGTATAGGGGTCGGCGGATGTGGCGTAAGCCTATAAAATCTGTCCTACTTGCAACGTGTATTTCGTGCAGCCCCTAAAGCCGGGGAAAACAAGGACATATGGAAGGAAGGGACAAGGGGGAGGGAGGATGGTGGAGCACCACAGAGAGAGTCGCAGGAGGGGGGCTAAGAGCAGAAAACACGTGGCAGAACCAGACGGGCAGATCGGGCGGGTAGACCCTGACGGGCGGGTCGAGAAGGCGGGCCCAAACGGCCAGGTCGAGCAGGCGGGTTGCTGAAGCGTGCGTCCTGCATGAATCGCAGGGAAATCTCAAGCGATAGCGCGATTCGTGAGTGTCGAGGGCGCGGCGTCTGAATACATTAAAGAAAGTCCCACGCGAGAGCGCGGTTCCTGCATCAATTGTGGGGAAGTCCGCGCGAAAGCGCGATTTCTGCATACACTGTAAGGAAATATCAAGAGGGAGCCGTTCTTGTTGGAATTCGGGGCCCAACAACCCAATTAGGCGACACCAAATGGGTGCGAGCCCCGATGGGGGCACTTCAATTGAAATCCGCCGGCCCCCTTGTGGGGCCACCAGGCTGTAGGGCGAAGGTTCGCAGTTTCCTGTACCAGTTGCAGCTTCCAGTTTCCACTGTTACAGTTCTGCTTCTTGCTGCTTACTGTTCCTTGTTGGCGTCTTGCTGCTTACTTGATGGACGGCGCGAGGGGGGGAGGCCCAAAAGGGACATTTTCACCACTGAGAAATCGTGTTGTGTGAATTGCTGGGGCAGGGAAAAATTCACATCCCTCACGCAGATCGGCGGGGTCAGGGTCCAACAACACAAGGGATTTGCCACATTTCTGGAATCCGGTTACACCCCTCACGCAGATCGGCGGGGTCAGGGTCCAAAAACACATGGGGTTTGCCACATTTCAAAAATTATCCCGGCAAAGGAACCTAACAGCGATGTGCATAAGCATATCTGGAAGCATTCCCCTTAAGATTCAGGTGAGAATCCAGTTGTAGAATTCTGCTGTTCTCGCAGTCGCAGTCGCAGTCGCAATGACAGTCGCAGTGGCAACGGCCTTAGGATCCAATGGAATCCTAATAATTCCTGGGGATTCCTAAGGCATCATTAGGCATCCTTAGGAATCCATAGGAATCCATAGGAATCCTTAGAATCCTTAGGAAACCTTAGGATGAGGCCGAGGCAGCTTCGGCCTGCCTCGGCCTCATCCTCAGCCTCAGCCTCATCCTCAGCCTCAGCCTCAGTCTCAGCCTCAGCCTCAGCCTGTCTCAGCCTCTCAGCCTGTATCGGCCTGAGCCTGCCTCGGCCTCAGCCTCAGCCTGCCTCAGCCTCAGCCTGCCTCAGCCTCAGCCTCAGCCTGTCTCAGCCTCAGCCTGCCTCAGCAACAGCCTCAGCCTCAGCCTCAGCCTGCCTCGGCTTGCCTCGGCCTCAGCCTCAGCCTGCCTCGCCTCAGCCTCAGCCTCAGCCTCAGCCTGCCTCAGCCTCAGCCTCAGCCTGCCTCAGCCTCAGCCTGCATCAGCCTCAGCCTCAGCCTGCCTCAGCCGCAGCTCAGCCTCAGCCTCAGCCTGCCTCAGTCAGCCTCAGCCTGCCTCCGCCTCAGCAGCCTCAGCCTCAGCCTGCCTCAGCCTCAGCGTCAGCCTCTCAGCCTCAGCCTGCATCAGCCTCAGCCTCCTCAGCCTCAGCCTCAGCCTCAGCCTCAGCCTCAGCCTCAGCCTCAGCCTGTCTCAGCCTCAGCCTCAGCCTGCCTCGGCGTGCCTCAGCCTCAGCCTCAGCCTGACTCGGCCTCAGCCTGCCTCGGCCTCAGCCGGCCTCAGCTCGGGCATTCAAAATATGGCACAGGACTGGTGTTCTGGGAACACGAAGATCACGAAGTGGCCCACAGTTGGCTCCAGACAAACACAACATGGTACAGGAATGTTCTGGGAACACGAAGAACACGAAGTGGCCTACAGTTGGCTCCGGGCATTCAAAATGTGGCCTGGGAATGGTGTTCTGGGAACACGAAGAACACGAAGTGGCCTACATTTGGCTCCGGGCATTCAAAATGTGGCCTGGGAATAATGTTCTGGGAACACGAAGAACACGAAGTGGCCTACAGTTGGCTCCGGGCATTCAACATGTGGCCTGGGAATGGTGTTCTGGGAACACGAAGAACACGAAGTGGCCTACAATTGGCTCCAGGCATTCAAAATGTGGCCTGGGAATTATGTTCTGGGAATGGATTCCTAAGGATTCCTCTGAATTCCTAAGGATTCCTAAGGATTCCTGGGGCTGGCGGATCAATCCGGTTCCCTATCCGGTTCCCGCCCAGAGCCCCCTGGGGCGTCAAGATGCTCTCTTTGGACACCAGTAAAAACCTATCAGCAAAAGCTGTTAGGTAAAAAAATCGGTAGCACCCCTCACGCAGATCGGCGGGGTCAGGGTCCAAAAACACATGGGATTTACCACATATCTGAAAGTCGGTGGCACCCCTCACGCAGATCGGCGGGGTCAGGGTCCAAAAAACACATGCGATTTGCCACATTTCAAAAAAAAAAATCGGTAGCACCCCTCACGCAGATCAGCGGGGTCAGGGTCCAAAAACACATGGGATTTGCTACATTTCTGGAATTCGGTGGCACCCCTCACGCAGATCGGCGGGGTCAGGGTCCAAAAACACATGCGATTTGCCACATTTCTGACACTCGGTAGCACCCCTCACGCAGATCGGCGGGGTCAGGGTCCAAAAACACAAAGGATTTGCCACATTTCTGAAATTCGGTGGCACCCCTCATGCAGATCGGCGGGGTCAAAGTCCAAAAGCAAATAGAACTTGCCACATTTCTAAAATTCGGCAGCACCCCTCACGCAAACGGCCGGGTGAGGGTGCAAAAACCATGGGATTTGCCACATTTCTGAAATTCGGCGGCACCCCTCACGCAGATCCGTAGGGTCGGGGTCGACAAACAAACAGATCCCGACACTGCTCCACGGCGGCGCCCAGACCTCATGATTTAGCTTTTGCATCTCCCATTGTCCGAGACAGGGGGCCGGCGGCATGGGGCGAAGCCCTTACGGTTACCCTGAAGAAAGACCCATGAAATTGTGAGTAACGCGTGGTGGGTGCCGCTTCCGGTGGGTCACGCAACGCGTGAAGAGGCGTGCCGTAATGGGTGGGGGGGACGCATGCGGGCGGTCCCACTGGGACCTTTGGTGCAGCTCCCTATGGGGCCACGATGCGCTGTAATTGGTTGTAGAGACGCATGCGGACGGTGCCACTGGGACCTTCGGTGGAGCCCCCATATGGGGCCACGAAAGGGCTGTACTAGGGGGGGGACGCATGCGGGCGGTCCACCTGGGGCCGTCGGTGGAGCTCCCTATGGGGCCGCGAAACGCCGTGCTGGGTGGCGGGGACGCATGCGGGCGGTCCCACTGGGACCTTCGGTGGAGCTCCCTATGGGTCCACGATGCGCTCTACTGGGTGTGGCGGACGCATGCCGGCGGTCCACCTGGGGCCGTCGGTGGAGCCCCCCATGTGGGGCCACGAAATGCTATACTGGGTGGGGGGAACGCGCGCGGGCGGTCACGCTGTGACCTTCAGTGGAGCTCCCTATGGGCTCACAAACTGCACTGGGTGTGGGGGCCTTCGGTGGAGCTCCCTATGGGGCCACGAAACGCTGTACTAGGCGTGGCGGGCGCATGCGGGCGGTCCCACTGGGACCTTCGGCGGACTTCAGTATGGGACCACGAAACGCTGTACTGGGTGTAGCGGACGCATGCGGGTGGTCCCACTGGGACCTTCGGTGGAGCCCCCTGTGGGGCCACGAAACGCTCCACTGGATGTGGCGGATGCATGCGGGCGGTCCCACTGGGACCTTCGGTGGAGCTCCCTATGGGGCCGCGAAACGCTGTACTAGGCGTGGCGGACGCATGCGGCCGGTCCCACTGGGACATTCGGTGGAGCTCCCTATGGGGTCGCGAAACGCTGTACTGGGTGTGCGGGCGGTCCCACTGGGACCTCCGGTGGAGCTCCCTATGGGGCCGCGAAACGCTGTACTAGGCGTGGCGGACGCATGCGGGCGGTACCACGGATGGGGCCACGAAACGCTGTATTAGGCGTGGCGGGCGCATGCGAGCGGTCCCACTGGGACCTTCGGCGGACTTCCGTACGGGACCACGAAACGCTGTACTGGGTGTGGCGGACGCATGCGGGCGGCCCAGCTCCCTATGGGGCCGCGAAACGCTCTACTGGATGTGGCGGACGCATGCGGCCGGTCCCACTGGGACTTTCGGTGGAGCTCCCTACGGGGTCGCGAAACGCTGTACTGGGTGTGGCGGACGCATGTGGGCGGTGGCGGACGCATGCGGGCGGTCCCTCTGGGACCTTCGGTGGAGCTCCTTATGGGGTCACGAAACATGTGAGACGTATGCCGAAAGAGGAGGGAGGCCGACATGGGTGGCGATGACGACAATGATAATGATGATGACGATAATGGTGATGATGATGGGAGGATGCAGGAGGGGAGGAGGAAGGAAGGAGAAAAGAGCGATGGGGCGCTGTCTTCAAAACGAGGACCCAACACAACAGGATGGTTGGGAAACATAGAACGGTTGGAGGGGGGAATCACCAGTAATTATTCAGAACTGCGAACTCAAGAACAACAGCACCACCATCACCACCATCAGAATCATCGTCATTAGCATCATCATCAGCATCATCACCACCACCACCACCACCATTCACCATCATCGTCATCACCATCATCAACAGGACCAGCAGCAAAATAATCATCATCCCAATCATCCACCACACCTTCGTCATCATGATCACCATCCCTCTTCCTCCTCCTCCTCATCCTCCTCATCCTGCTCCTCCTCCTTCTCCTCCTCCTGCCCCCCCGCCAGCTCGTCCTCCACCTCATCCTCTCTCTTTCGCCCCTCGCCTGTCCATGTTCCTCGTTTAAGACATTGCCCATGGCCCGTTTGCTGAGCAATTCATGCGGTGGCCTCTCAGAGGCTGCTCAAGGGGCGGCGGCATCTGCTGGTGAAGCTACCAGGGCACTTCAAAGCGTCAAAGCGCAAACGGAGACACCCGGTCGGCAAGAAGAGCCACGAAGCTTGACGCTCGAACGCGAGGCCCCCGTGACGAGCGGAGGCCTCCGAGCCTGGCAATCCAGAGGGCGCCAACTATGCACGATACACCTGCACCGGGCCTGGCCGGGCCTGTCCTGTACCCGGGATCCGTGCACACGCCCTCGGGGCCTGGCCAGGAAAGCGTGTGCGCGGACCCTGCGCCCAGAGTTGGCCCTGCCTGGGTAGGGCAGGCCACAGTCAGCCCGTAGCACGAGGATGCGCAAGAAGGATGCAAGGACCTCGGAGGGCCATCTCAAAGCTTTGCGAGCGGGGCGCGGCCAACGAAATGGGCCAAGGATGGACCAAGGGGGGAAGGATGCAAGGGTACCCTTGGGAAGGTTGCCCATCCTCACTCTGCGGGTTGACCGTATGTACGGCAGACACCTGCCCCGACGGCCCTGGCTTCCACGACGCCGCACGAACCGCTCAGCCTCGGGCGATCTCCGCTGTCGGAGGCCCCCAGGGGCCCTCGACCTGTCTCTTCCGCGTGGCCTTCGCGCCGTGGGCCGTGTCCTGTGAGCCATGCCATGCCGGGTCCCGAAGCGTAAAACAGGGCTAGGATCGGGATAAATCGCTCCAGAGCGTTCCCGAGCGCTCTCAGAGCGTTCCGGAACGCTCTGAGAGCGGCCGCGGCGCCCAATACATCCTCCAAACCCGCCGATTCTCAGAGATTTCGAGTTGTCCCGATCCGATTTTGTCCCGATCTTCGCGTAGTTTACAGCGGGCCCCCAGAGGGCCCTCAACCGTGAGCGCCGCGCGCCGTCGCCGCCGCCGCCGACGCGGCGTGCGCGCGCAGCTGGCGCCCCCAAGGCGGGCCCACGGCTGGGCCGGCGGCATGCGCTAACTGGCTCCACTGGCGGGGGGTCGCGCCGCCAGCACAACAAAAAGTCCGGGCGGCCGGCCTCGGAGGTGCCCCTCTCGGCCCAGAGACCGTCGACGCCTGCGGAGAGGGATAACAAGGAGGAGGAGGAGGACGAGGAGGAGGAGAATGAGGAGGAGGAGGACGACGACGACGACGAGGAGGAGAATGAGGAGGACGAGGAGGGGGAGGAGGGGGAGGAGGGGGAGGGGGAGGAGGGGCAGGAGGAGGAGCAGGAGGAGGAGGAGGAGGAGAAGGAGAGGGGGGATCATTCTGTCAATTTCCGGGCCGACATGCTAGGCCTGTCAGGGGATGCTCGCGACATGCTAGGCCTGTCAGGGGATGTGCGCCGATCACAATCACAATAAGGCGGAGGGTCTGCACTCCCCTCCTCGGCTTCACGCACGCGCACGGTATCGTGCAGGGGGCTGCGCGGGGCAGCGCGAGCGCGCGGAGAGCCGACTCCTGCTCGGATTGGGGCCTCGGAGTGCCTTTTGCAGCGGCGAGAAAGCGAGAGTGCCAAGTTCATCTCTTGTTCGAAGGTACTGCAAAGAGTTGGGCCTCCTGTGGGCATCCCTGTTCGGCTCCGTGGCCACCTAGGGCCGTCTTGGGGGCGTCTTTGGGCCTGCTGGAGGCGTGGTGGTGAGCATCTGGACCATTCTTGAGCAGTACCTTGAGCCATCTCTGGCGCTCCCCACGTCCCAGGGGCGGGGGGCAACGCTCGAGGCCAGCGAGTCCTGTAGCTGCGACTGACAGGCACCGACGCTGCAGCTCGAGCAGGGGGAGTACCAGAACGTGGGAGCCCGGCGGCGCGCACGAGGCAGGGCATGGCGAGGAGGGCGGCGGCGGCGGGAAGGGGCCTCCCATCGAGCTCCCCCTGGCCACCCAGGGGGGCGTGGGGCGTTGCGGTCTCCGAGGGGCCGACCCCTGCTCCCTCCCGGGAAGGCCCCCCTTGCCAGCACGAGATCTGTCGACCCCCATCCCAGGCTCTGGGAGGTTTTCGACCAGACCCAACATTTCGGGCCCAGTCTTGGGATGTACGACTGGGGGGCGTCCATCCTCGATAGCGGTTCGTCCGAATAGCCACCTTGGGGTGCATCCCCGGGTTTCCCCCCTTTTCTGAGCCTCTTCATTTTTCGTCGACCGGTGGGGGGATGGGGCAGAAAAATCGCCTGCGGCGTGCCCTCCTGCGCAGACCGCAGCCCCTCCCCGCCAGGGCGTGGGCCGTGCGGTGCCCCCCTCCCCCCCTGGGGGTCGACCCCTGTGCTCCCTCCCGGAAGGCCCCTCCTGCCCTTCTGCGCAGACCGCCCCCCCACCCTCCGCCTGGGATCGCATCTAGGTTTGAGAAACTGAAATTCGGCAGAATGTTGACGATCCCTGATAGAGTCCACACCTGGAGGATGGACTCTTCTGCCACAATCGTCCAAATCCCATCAGGGTCCACCCCGAGAACCAACCCTTCTCCCGGAGAATCATCCACCCTTTTCCTGGAGAACAAGCCTCTCGCCACTCCGCCCCCCTCCCCCTCCTCGACGAGGGCGCCACCTGCGCACCCCCGCCGAGCCTGGCGCCCATCGGCTCGGCACGCCCTCCCGGCCTGGCCGCGAAGGCGCACGCACCGGCCCAGGGGCCCCGGAGCAGCCTGCCCGGGCTGGCCAGGCCCGCGGGCACTGGTGCGCAGCTGGCGCCCCCCCCCCCCCAACTAGCCATATCGCTCGGACGTCCGCTCCCTGCGCTTTTTTCGGTTTCGTGCGGGGCTTTTTTTCGCCAGGTGATCGAGGACGCTCCTCGATGGTCCTCGCCGAAAGAAGGATGCGCACGTCCGAGCGACGCCAAGCCAACCGCCTGCGCGCCACCGAGATGGACGAGGCGAGGGGGGGCGGGCGGGCCCTGGTGCGCGGCTGGCCCCCGTGCCTTCGGGGGATTGCTTCTCGTCGCCATGGCTGGGCGCCGCTCGAAGGCGTCAGTCAGAACGCGCCCCTCGAGAGGTCCGGGGGCCGATCCGCGAGGAGGGGACCGAGGGTGGAGATCCCAGACCTCCAATTCTCGTGGAGACATGAAGGCGCACGCTTCGTCGTCGTCGTCGTCGTCGTCGGCGCCGCCGGCGCGGCCGCCGTCGTCGTCGTCGTCCTCGTCGTCGCCATCGCCATCGCCGTCGCCGTCGCCGTCGCCGAGTTGACGCTGCTCGGCGGGGACGCGCAGAACGCAGCCTGGGGGCAGGAGAGGCCTGAGTCGGATCGACAAGTCGGATCGGAAGTGGACATGAATCGGATCGGCGGAAATCGGCAGCCGAGTCGGGAAAAGTCGACTCGGCGGGCAGGCTTGCGTGCGCCCAATAGGAGATCGGAACCCAAATCGGAATCCAAAGCCGAACTGGATCGGAATCGGAATCCATCGGCATCGAGTCGAATCGAACCGGAGGAATCGCGACGAGCCCCTCGGGGGGGGGGGCGGGGCGGGCGAGCGCGCACGCCCCAGGGGCCTCCAGGAACCCAAATCGGAATCCAGAGGCGCACCGGATCCGACTCGGAATCCATCGGCATCGAGTCGAATCGAACCCGAGGGATCGCGACGGGCCCCTGGGGGGGGGGGGCGGGGGCGGGCGAGCGCGCACGCCCCGAGGGGCCTCCAGCCCCGCGCGCCGCGGCCCGCTGCCCGCTCGGCCCACGCCTGAGCGGGCCCGCGGGCCCCGCCGGCGCCCGAGCGCGGCCCGCCGGCGGCGCCCGGCCTCGCGCGGGGGGGGAGCCGCGCGGGCCCCCGGCGGCGAGCGCTCGCGGCCCCGAGGGGCCCCGGGAGTGCGCCGCGGGCCGCAGCCCTCCGGGGGAGGCGGGGCTGCGGCGGCTTCGCGTCGCGACGACGTCGGCGACGAGCTTCTGTAGGGGGACAAAAAAAGCACAAACATAAAAAACTCGGAGGTCCGCGCGGATTTCTCGGATCGGCGCTGGGGCCCCCCGGCGGCGCCTCCGGCGCCGCCACTGGCGCGCTCCGCGCGCCAGCGAGGGGGGTCCAGCGCCGATCCGAGAAATCCGCGCGGACCTCCGAGTTTTTTATGTTGATGTCACTTTTCGTTCCCCTATTCTGGCACCGCGTGGATGGCTCAGCCTGCAGGACCGCGGCTTTCCCACTGTGCAGACCGCTCGGCTCTCGCTGGGCTCCAGGGTTCCACCTGGAACGTCCGCGCGATGGTCGTCGCCGCGTCAACGGGGCGCAAACCTGCCGTAGGATGGATTCGCGGGGAAGGCAGACATGGATGGATTGCACTCCTGTCGCATCCACGGTGGCACGATCCCGAAGCCCTGCCGAGACCAGGCCAGGATCTCGCGGAGCCAGGCCCCTGCCAGTCGCTGGTGGGCTCGGCGGCCCCGCTGCCAGCCAACACGCATATGGTGGGCAGGCACATCCCAGCGGCCACTGCGCGGGGACGGTGAGGCAGCTTCAGAGCAAGGTCGAGTGCGGCGCCAATGCGAGACCATCGTTAGGCCTGCCAAGACAATCTCCGACCGTCCACCGTGCACGGCGTCAGAAGCTGCTCGCCGCAACGAATGAATCTGAATTACCGCTCGCATGCACAAGCGGCGGGCTGCTGCGCGATAACAACAAAAAAGCCCGTCATCCTGGTCTGAGGCCGAAGGGCCAGAGACAAATATGTGACAGAGGGAGCGGCAACGGTTGAGGACAACGGAAGAGGAGCACTGGGGAACGGCAAAGCCAGGGGGGGGGGACTCCATGAAGACGAAGACGAAACCGTGAAGGCGGGGGGCGACGGGGAGCGAGAGGACGGGCGGGTGACGGGGAGTACCAGAGGCCACATCTCCTCCACCTCCTCCTCCTCCACCTCCTCCTCCTCCTCACCACCACCACCACCACCACCACCACGATCACCACCACCACCATCGTCAAGTTCCATTTTGGCTCGACGCGCCGCCCTCGGCGCCTTGGAGCTAATCCCGAGCCTCAGCAAGGCGGACCGGGCTGTGGGCCCCTTCGCGGTGGCCAATCCGAGGCGGACGTGAAGATGGCAGCGACGGCGGCGGTCCCGTGCGAGGGAGGTCCAGCCGCCGTAGGGGGTAATTGTAACGTGGCGGGCTCGGACATGGTACTGGCAGCAGCGATGGTAGCAATAGTAGTAGGAATACCGGGAAAGGCCACGAAGACGAAGACGACGACAACAGCAACGAAGACGAAAACGACGACGACGACGACGACAACGACCGGCCAGGCTGGCGACGACGACGACGACGACCGGAGGCGGCAACGACGACGACAAGCGGCAATAACGACGACCGGCGGTGACGGCGACGACCGGTGGCGACGACGAATAGTATCAGTAGTAGTAAAAGGAAACAAGCAATGGTATTGGAAGCAGTTGTAGTTCAAGCTCGAGAACTCGTCGTAGTAGGAGTACGATTAGTCGCAGCACAAGGAGGTGAGACCACAATTAATATAGACCTACAGCATCCAATACAGCCACGACGAATGCTACAGCTAAGACTACAATGACTTCTCCTTCTACGTCGACTGTCACAACCACCACTACTACTGATACTACTACAAATGATAATAACAGTACTGCTACTACTACTACGAATACTACTACTACTACTACGAATACTACGAATACTACGAATACTACAAATTCTACGACTACTACTACTACTACTACTACTACTACTACTACGACGACGACGACGACGACGACGACGACGACGACGAAGACGACTACAGCTACTACTACTACTACTACTACTACTACTACTACTACTACTACTACTACTATTACTAGTATTACAACTACTACTACTACTACTACTACTACTACTACTACTGCTACTGCTACTGCTACTGCTACTGCTACTGCTACTGCTACTACTACTACTACTACTACTACTACTACTACTACTACTACTACTACTGCTACTCCTACTACTACTACTACTACTACTACTACTACTACTACTACTACTACTACTA